AGAAAGGAAGAAAAGAAAGAAAGAAAAAGAAAGAAAGAAAGAAAAAAGAAAGGAAAGAAAGAAAGAAAGAAAGAAAGAAAGAAAGAAAGAAAGAAAGAAAGAAAGAAAGAAAGAAAGAAAGAAAGAAAGAAAGAGAAAGGGAAAGAAAGAGAAAGAAAGAAACGAGGACATAGGCACACACAGCGGGGACAACCCTGTGAGGACACAGGGAGAAGACGGACGTCTGCAAGCCAAGGAGAGAGGATGCAGGAGGACTCAACTCTGCCTTGATTTTGGACTTCAGGATTTTGGACTTCCAGCCTCAGGAGCCTGAGAGAATAAATGTTTGTTCTTTAAGCCCCCTAGGTGTGGCACTTTGTTATGGAAGCCTTAGCAAATTAACACATGCATGTAACAATATTCCTCAACAAATGCAAAAGTGGATTTAAATGGGATTTTGTTATCCCATCCTCAGCGTATAGTAAGGTCAAAATGTCTACATTTAAATGGATGAATGCAGTTTTCAAGGAGGGACATCACTTTCAAACCAGTGGGATTTGCAAGTTCCTCTGCCCATTGCAGGCTCCTCATGCCCACAGGATAGTACAGGTGGGATCAGAGTCAGGAAAGAGAAAGGGATGCCACCTCTTCGTGGCACACGCAAATGACCTCGGGGATGAATCTCAGCAAACAGGACCTCCAGGGGGCGAAGCCGCTGCTGCTGACTCTGCGTCACTCGTGGCAGTGCCACAGAACCGGACTCTGGCCACGCTGCATTACAACAGTGGGTCTTTCCTGTGCATTGACACATTCATCCCAAGTGAAATGGCTTATGGAGAAACAGCTCTGCCTTGAGTGCTAACTTCTATGGGGCAACTAATTAGTGCTACTGCTTAGGATAATGAAGAGATACATCAAATATTTGAGATGGGAAACATGGCCATGACATATCAAGGCTAAAGACAACAGCTGCTGCCTGGAGGGCCACGGCCTTTGCCAAGTATCAAAAGGGCAGGTCCACCTCAGGAGCTCTACTCCTCTCCTCCAGAACTCAGCCTCTCCACCTCCCCTTCCAGCCCCCTCCCCAAGCTGCCAGAATGCCACCTGCTGCCCCCCCCCCCCGACCCCTGCAGATTCCCTTCCCAGGAATTGCCCTCTGACAAGTTTTGTCCCTTTCCTTTGAGCAGCCTGGATCTAATGGTTGCATGTGCAGCAAAGCCAGGAATTCAGAGGAGCCAATCTCACCCAGTGTCCATTCTAGACAGCCAGCTACGGAGAAGGCACTTTTCCTTGTGGTGGCATTGGATTGAATGTCCTTCAACAATGCTACATAAGAAGTACCAAGTGGTATTAAAAGGACTCTAGATTTACGGGCAGCAGGTAGTGCACCAAGAGCCCCGGCCTGCCCCCTCCTCCCACTGCCCTTGCTTTTATAGGGAACATTTGCATTCTTCTCTGGAAGTGGAGAAAATAATGCATAATAACTTTCTTTGACTGACAAGTATGTGTTTCTGCTGTGAGCTAACAGGCGCTGGACTGAGATGCAGGGACGCTTGCAGCAAATCCTATCAGTTCACTTCCCTCTTACAATGTGAATCCATTCAAATTAGGCCTTCCAGTGAAAGCCTCTTAATTAGATGATTTCCTAAGTCCCCATTGATGTCTCTTTTCCCAAACAAAGCCATCTACAAATGACTGGGTGTTTGGTCCTGAAGTAGTGGCTTTGAGAAGCAGGCTTCAGAGGGCAGTGAAATATGACCAGGTTAGCAGGCCATCCGTCAGATATTGCCGGAAGTGTCATGAGGAGACAGCGTCAAAGGACCGCTCCTCTTGCAGCCTGTCATGCAGATAACAGGAGAAAAAACCTGCAGGATCTGGAATCATTTTCAAATAGTCATCAGTGATCACCGCCACGTGATCCACAAGCAGTCCCCTTCCTCGTCCTCAAAACATATCTTTTCCTTATCAATTATGGATTTTGCATGAATTTGCATGAAGTCTCTCCCATGATCCCTCAAACCTAATAAAAAATTTCCAAAGCCCTTTCTAAGCACTGCAAGTCAAAACAGCTCTGACTCGGCTGGGAGCTGTGGCTCATGCCTGTAATCTCAGCACTTTGGGAGGCTGAAGTGGGTGGATCACTTGAGGTTAGGAGTTGGAGACCAGACTTGCCAACATGGCGAAACCTCATCTCTTCTAAAAACACAAAAATTAGCCAGGCATGCTGGCGTGTGCTGTAATCCCAACTACTCGGGAGGCTGAGGCAGGAGAATTGCTTGAACCTGGGAGACAGAGGTTGCAGAGAGCCAAGATCATGCCATTGCACTCCAGCCTGGGCAACAAGAGCAAACCTCTGTCTCAAAGAAAAAAAAAAACCCTCTGTCGACCTGTATTATATGGTACCTGTGTCATCCATGGGCTTTAAGACTCATGGACTGTAAAAAAAAAAAAAAAAAAAAAAAAAATGGGAAAAAAAAAAAAAAAAAAAGGCCTGTGTAAGGCAGAATTGGAAGGAACAGTATGAACAAGGGCTCAGAGCCAGAAAAACAAGGCAGGTGTGCAGGGGAAACACTTAGTGGTAGTCAGAAGACAGGGCTGGAACACAGACCAGGGCCCTATCAGGTCCAGCCCCAGCAGGAGAAATGTAAGCCTTCAGAACCATCGCACTGGATGAGGAGGAATATGAAAATTTAATCTTTATTTTAAAATGATAGTACACATCTATCAATCATAAACATATGGTCAATGTATAGATTAAGTCTACATTTTAATAAATATCTTCCATTGTGTTCATTTTATTAGCCATTTTTTGATTTTCCTAAGATTTATTACTCATTGATGATGAATCTATCTACTCCAAATTCTAAGCACTATACTGTTTTGGCTTTAAATACCATTTTTGATTAAAGAGCCCTATGTAAATTTTTTAAATGAAATAAATAAATCAAAAGTAAGTACACTTTGAAAAATACATTTTAATCCAAAAGTTTTGAATATTAGCATTTAGAAAGTTATTTACGCCGGGCGTGGTGGCTCAAGCCTGTAATCCCAGCACTTTGGGAGGCCGAGGCAGGTGGATCACGAGGTCAGGAGATCGAGACCATCCTGGTCAACATGGTGAAACCCCGTCTCTACTAAAAATACAAAAAAATTGGACCCTTTTCACAAGATGGCGCCGAAAGCGAAGAAGGAAGCTCCTGCCCCTCCTAAAGCCGAAGCCAAAGCGAAGGCTTTAAAGGCCAAGAAGGCAGTGTTGAAAGGTGTCCACAGCCACAAAAAAAAGAAGATCCGCACGTCACCCACCTTCCGGCGGCCCAAGACACTGCGACTCCGGAGGCAGCCCAAATATCCTCGGAAGAGCGCCCCCAG